TGGGGACTGGAGTTAGAGGTGATTTTGAACTGCTTGATGTAGGTTTAGGACCAGAAACCAGGTGCTCTGAAAGAGCAATATCAACTCTTACCTACCTCTAGTCCCCCTAGCAATCATAAAAAACAAAACCTCCACAAACTTCTTTGTGTTTCCACTATCTTTCATCCCAAGTCAGAGTCATCATAGTGTCACCTGCATTCCTGCAGGCTAAGAAGGAAGGGAGTGTAGAGTATTGCCTGGATGCCACCTGTCACCTGATACTTTTTTGATCCAAAATCTTGTAGCTAGAAGTTTAGCAAATTTGAAGAGTTCCTAATAGAGGTAGTCTACTGTGGGCTCCAGGTTAAGCGGAAGCAAGTCTGGGCAGAGGTACAGCCTGGGCTGTGCTGCTGTCCAGTGAAAGGCCCACAGATCCTCGGGAGCATGATGCTGAGGTCCTTCAGAACAGTCCCAAGTTGAGTCAGTTCCCCACAGCTGCTCAACTCTGTGCTGACTTGCCACCAGAGTGAACTGCCTGGGAAAGGGATGTGGTTTTGAACAAGGTGGCTCCCTGGAGAGTGTGATTCTGAGGAATGTCACAGCTGAAGTCTGTACACTGTGCATTTCCAGAAGCAGTGACCAGTTTCTCTGGGACTTGTATCACCTCAGTATCCACTAGGAGTGTAGACGTTAGGTTTACCCGAAGACAAAATCCCGAAAAGAGAATGGCAAGACAGTGCATGAGAGACAAGCAGCATCCTGACTTTTTCTTTATATCAGATGCTTACTTCCAAGGGTGGTATGGATTTACGTTTTTCTTCTGATTGCTTGGCATCTGGAGTGTCCTTTCAGTCTGAGATTAACATCCGTTTTTGACATTGACAGGTCAAATATTGCTTTTCTTCTATTTCTCCCTTTCCTAAAACTTTGTTTACATAGAACCATTTAGTCTTTATTTCTCTTATTTTTATTTGTTATTTTATCTTTTCTTTTCTCTGTCTTTTCATTGCTGCTGGTAACTCCTCAGTACTATCTTCTAATTCTTATTCTACTCCACTCTAGACTTTATTTTCTACATTGGGCATATAATTTTTCCAAATAATATATTTCTATTTTGAAGCTCTTATTTGTTCTTTTTCACAGCTCTATTTTACTTCTGATGGCTTCTTTTATTTTCTCCTGTTTCATGGTAGAGTTTATCTTATTTTAAATTTTTTCATACACTTTTATTGTTTCTATTTCTTGTGGAATGGTAATGTAGGGAGAAATGCTGACCATGCCTGCTTGGGGCTGGACACAGGTAACACTTACCATGCCGCCCACTTGCGGTGGTGAGAGTGACGTAGCAATGTTTTAATTATCAGAGATAACAATAATTCATTTGACTTCTTATTACTGGCTACCTTTCCCAGTGTTAGTTTTATTTGTAATTTATTTGGGTGTGTGGTTGCATCTTGTAGCCTTCTTTTTCCTAATAGCAAATGGATTTTGAGTATCATTCCATCTACCCATTTTCCAATTGGAATATTCATTGCAAATTGTTTTCTTCCAGAATTTTTTCTTATCATTTTATTGATTTGTAAGGCATTCTAGATGTTTGTGTTTCTAATTTTAGATTATGTAAAACTAAAATTAAATGTGTCAACTTCCTGTAGTAGTTGATACTTTTACTCAAGTATGGCTCTATCTGACAGCGATTGAATCCTTTTGTTATCTGCAAGTCATTCTACTCAGCCACAGTGGTGAAGTGAAAGTTGGATCTCACCAACCTAGCCATAATCTGCTACTGTGGGTGATGTTTGATTCTTAGGGATATGCAGCTGGTGAAACAAGATAAATATGGAGGAAGGTTGGAGGAGAAGTATCCTCATGATTGGCTTGAGATGTGGCAGAGAGTCAGGGGGTCTGTTGCAGATTTGGTCATGGATTTCAAGGAGAGAGGAGAGGCAGGTGAAGAGTTGCAGGAGGCTCCCTGCTTCTCTGGCTGGAGTAGCCTGTGGGTTCCCAGGTAGCACCTGGTGGAGTTGAGGGTTGGGATAATAGAATGGGGGGCCTGGAAATTTAGAGGGGAAGAACTGTGTGATCCCCTGGAGCTGGGGTAGAGGCAGAGGGGAGGCTGAAGCAAGTGGTCTGCTCCAGAGCTGGAGATGAGAATGAGAGACTGGATTTGGAGGAGCGGATGGAATGGTGAAGATGTGTAGTTAGCCTACCTGCTTCCTTGGCTGGAATCCAGTTTCTTTTAACCATTATAATAAGACAGGGGCTAAAAGAGGATTATAATCTAATCAAACAGAATGCTGCAAATAATTATAAAGTATAATGTGAGGGGTTTAAAAGTTCTCAGTTTAACATCTTTAAAATGCTTTTAGAACTTATATAAAACAAAATAATATAATAAATCACTTTTTTGTGCTTTAAAGATTTAAATATTTTGTATACAAGTGGAAATATTAGAAACATTTCAATGTGTGATTGCTTGACCATCATTGAAATGACTACAACAACTATCTTATGAAACAATTAAGCTGAACTTCTCTGGGCCTGGAGCACCCTGGTAAGAGTAGATGAGAGGAGGTGCATCCTGGGGAGGCTCCGAGCTCCTCTGGTATCAGAAGAGGCAGGTGATCATCTGTTGTCTCTATTGCCCTCTGAGGATTAACTTAAATATGGATGAAATTCCTGTTTATAACATTGGTCTATTTAAAATCTTCTGTTTTTTATATGAGGAAGTAGAGCTCAGGTAGGCTAAGTGGTTTGGCAAAGATCATATACTTTGACATTGGAAGGGTGTGGCGGGATGGGTAGCCTAACAACTCAAACACATTTCGTTTCCATCTCCTGGTTCTACTAACCTGAGTTAGCGAATCAGAGAGCAATGTCTGCATCAGAAAATTAGTGTTATTCTATGTGTTTGCCATGTGGTACCTAGGCTGCTTGGATTCCCATCTTACCTGACATGCAGGATCAGAAGTTTATATAATATCTTCTTTCTATGTCATTTTGATCCTCTGACAAAATAGGTTCATGATATTTAATCCTATCATCTAGTGTACTTTTTGTCTACTTTATGTGCCTAATATTTGCCAGTAATATTGGCCCCATCTAGAAGTTGTTCAGTTTCCTTTAATTGTCTTTTCTTTTCTTAGTCCTGTAGTTTGTTGCTATCAGATAGTTATTTCAGAAGAGCCAGAGACTTGGCAGTGAAGTCATGGAACAAGTGTGGAAAATGAGCAGTCTAAGATTCTTTCTGTTATTAGTTACTGTTCTGTGTATAGTGAGAAGATACTTGCCAGAGGCACTTAGGAAAGAAAGGGTGTATCTTTGCTTGTGGTCCAAGGAAATAGTTCATAGTTACATAGAAGGTATATTGGTGAAAATAATTACAGCAGTGGTGGCAAAAGCAAGTGGTGGCTGGTCACACTCTATCCAGTCAGCAAGTGCGGCAATGACAACTGGGTCTCCTTCGTCCCAGTCCATTGCATGATGCCACTGACATGCAGGGTGGATCTTGTGTCTTAAAATTTCTGGTTAAACTTCTCAAAGACTTTCCCAGAAGTGTGTCCTCTGAGAAATTCCAGATCTAGTCCAGGGGACAATGAGGTTAGAACACTACACTTGCTAATTTGAAGAAGAAAATGCATCAGATAATGGAAACAGTGGCCAGAATAGATGGTGGGAGAGATTCCTGAGGTGCTATGGCAAGAGATGTAGTAGTGAGGACTACAGGTAGGCATATGACTCAGGAGGCCTGGCCTGCTCTGCCTCCTTTATGTCACACTCCAGAGCTTCTGAGAACACAGGAAGTATACACTGAGAGCCAGGCAGTCTTGAACATACAGCTGATTTCTGGTGTTTGGAACCAACTATTTGTTTTTCATTCCAAAATATACAAGAGCAAGGCACTAATAGTTTTAGAATCTGAAGGGCCCTTAAAAGTATTATATCCCAATAATTTATCACTTAAATGAGGCAAATGAAGCTGAAACAAGTCAAACTCACACACTGACTCAGTTCCAGAGTTTTAGAGTTTTAGGCTTGCAGCCCCAAGCTTCTTACCCATACTTTTTAGTTTTATGAGGTGAGTACAAAGTCTTTAAATGAAATCAGAAGCTGTGGGAAGGAAGTCATCTGGGCCATAGTTTAGAAGATGAACACTGCTATGCAAAGGATGAACTGAAACAGGCTACCAGTAGTTGAGTCAGGGAGCTGTTGCAGCAGTTCAGGGCTGAAGTGATTATGTTTGAGGGAAGATGATGAGATGCAGCTGTATTTTGAGGTTAACCATATGCACAGCTTGATGTATCGAATATAGCAAATAGAAACATAAGATGATTTGGGCTTATGACTCCAGGACACGTAGATACAGGTAAAGCTTCTGAGAGCTAATGTAGAGGTAAAAGTGGAACTGAAGGTTTAGAGACTTGGGATGGAGGGACAGTGGGGAGAAAGTTAGGGCTGGAATGAAGATTTCTGTCATTTGTTCTTGTATCAACTGCTGAACTATTTTCTTCAGGTCTCTAAAGTGTGATCCACTTTGCTGCACCCTGCCCCAAATACATCCGTATAAATGATACTTTTAGTCATCTTTCTATTGCTTTGCCAAAATTTCCAAGATACTAATGGTGAATTTTGAATGAGGAAAGTTTTATTTTAACTCATGGGTTCAAAGTTTTGTTACCGTAGTTGCTTGACTCCATCTTTTTTGTCTGTGGTGTCACAGTACATTAAGCCAGGAATATATGATACAGGATGTTTGTGCACCTCATGGTAAGTGGGAGGAGGGTGCCTATTGTTTCAGTATTCTCTATGCTTCAGTGCCCAAATATCCTCCCACCAGGAAATTTCACCATCTTCTGGCACTTTCATGGGCTATAGACTAAGCGTTTAATACACTGACCTTAGGGAAACATGGAAGATCCTATATAGTAGATTCCATGACCAACTCGTATCAGTTATCTACTTTATGAAGATGAAGTAGGAAATAAGTTCCAATTATGTTTGCCTCTTATCCTACAGAACAGGATTACACATCCTAAGCATTCCTGTCACCCAGTTTGGAGAGCCTGGAGTTGCATATACTTGGAGCAAAAGGGTAAAGGCATGTGTACTAGGATGCACTGAGGTAGGTATGAGAGGGAAGGGGCTCCTTGCCAAGTGTACTGTGACAGAAGTACTCAAATGTACAGCCATTTCTCAATACTTCTGTGTTCTAGGCCCTGTTCTGGGCAATGGGAGTATTGCAGGGAAGGAAATAAAGCTCTTGAATTTCTGAAAGCTACATAGAACACTGCTTATTTGACCATCTTAAAAAAGAAAAACAAAAATAAAAAACAACCCCCAAACAAAAGCAAATAGTTCCAGGCTCTTTCAGCAGCAGAAAATCAGGTCCTTCACTCCAGTCGGGCATACAATTCACTGTCCTCTACCCCACGTACATTCTCATCTCGTATTTTCTGTGCTGTGTCTTTCATGCAGCCATATTCACTGATTCTCTTGGGTTATGTAGTCTGTCATCTCAGGACTAATTTTCAGAGCAGGATTGCACCAGCTTGTGTCCTGTTTTGATTGTCTAATACCATCGTAATTTCACTATTCTACCATCCCACCCTTCTGGGTGTCTCTTAAACCTTCCTCTTTCTTTTCCTCAGTCCTTGATGCTGTTATTTATTTTTAAAACTAACCACCCTTTCAGGTTTATTCCACTGCTTCTTTATGACAAATACTGCTGTGATTTTTATTTTATTTTTGCATTTTCTTCCAAAATTGATGGTAGCAAGCCCCATGCTCAGGAAGACAATGAACATACACCTGGGGAAACTTGGATTCTCATAACTCTCTGGATGGTACTTCAAGTGGACAGGGACCCATTTCCCGATGTGTTGCGTCATTGGGTGTGTCTCTCAGCAGTACTGCCATCTGCAGTTGCCTTCCACCCATCTCCTGGCTCAGTTTCCCCATATTCTTTGGTTTTGTGGGAGCATTGCCATGAAAGCACTCAGTGGAATGCTTAGTGAATCTCTGCATTAAAAAGATAGGCACACATCTTGCTAGCCAGCCCATTTGGTATAGGATGGAACTCCTGGCATACTGAGTTAAGGCAAAGCAACACTAGAGAAGTCCATATCTATAGAGATATAAACGAGGAAATGACTGAGAAGGCCATGTCTCTAAAGATTGATAAAAATGAGGAAATGGCTGAGAAGTCCATGTCTTAGAGACAGATAAAAATGAGATCACAGAGCACAAATCAACTTAATTTTTCTCTTATACTGAAATACGAGAAGACAACAGTTGGTCAAAGCAGAAGACAAGCACTGCTGTTGATGGCTGAGGGCAGGGCTCGCTTCCATTCACTAAGTTTTGCTTTCAGGACTAGGCAGATCTTCAGCATGCTCTGTGCTCTTGCCTGCAGTATAATGCTGAAAATTTGAGAAACTCTTCCCCTAGATATTTTGGATTTTAAAGATGTGACTGTCATGGTTTCTTCCTCTGGGTAGAAGCCAAGGAAAATTTTTATACTTATGACTCTCATGACTTTCATAGGGCAAAGGTTATGCTTATTCCAACAATCTCTAAAGTGTTTAACAAGTTTTGAGCACTTCTTCACAGCATGTTGGTTGCATCAGTCAACTGAACAATTATATTTAGAGTTTAGAACAACAGCTCTGTGGGACCCTGCAAAGCATTTAGTATTCTTGTTTATAATCATGCAGCCACTGAGTGCACAGTAGTTTGCCTCAGTGGAAGTGATTGTGCAGCTGTAGAGACATTTGCTGCATTGTGCATAATGCTTCAGAAGGAATGCAGTGCTAAATGTAAGAGGGAGGGCTCACCTCAGGCCACACATGCATCAGTCTGTTCTTGAGCAGCTCCAGAATCTAGAACACTGGCTAGGAATACTGGGTCAGGATTCAAGCCAGGGATGGCTTCCAATTAACAAACATTTAGGCAAACTTCTAAAAAGAAGTTCCTAAATTCTGTTCTAGTCCAGCATGTTTTTTTATACCTTCCCAGGTGACTTTGGCAGTCATCCAGAGTTGAAGACTAGCTGAGTAAAGTATAATGTCCAGTATTTTAAGTATAGTTTTGCTTTTAGGGGCTAGGCAATCTGTTTGGGGATATAGGACTTTTAGAAACACCACTCCTGTTTTTAATCCCCTTACACAGCAAAGACAGCATAATTACCATAAAGCAGAGGTAAGAGGCTGAGACTAGGCAAATCATGAAGGAGAGGGGAAGAAAACAGGCATTTTAAGTTGACTATTAACACAAAACTAAGCTCAGAGCTGGGATATATAAGGTATATACCACATATACATTGGTAGTAGTAAGAAAGTAATGAAATTAGGTGAGCTCTCACAGGATCTTAGGCTCAGATATTTGAATTTGAGTTCTTTTATGTCACAAAACAGCTGTTTACATGGACAATTTATTTAATTTCTCTGTACCTTTATCTTTAGGTCTACCAAATGTGGGGCAGTAGTTCTGGCAGGGATGTAGTTTAGTTTTATTACTATAAATAAAATGTTTGAGGCAAGCTCAAATTATAAAGAAAAGTGGTTCATTTAACTCACAGTTTCAGAGGTACAAGAGCATCATGCTATTTTGTCCCAGCTTCAGGGTGGGGGGGTGGGGGCTGGGATGCTCTTGGCTGGCTTCCTTCTAGCCATAGGGGCAAGAGCACTGCTGTGGCCTCTTCTGATTGCATACTCCAGGTGGCTTAAAGACTTCACTTGCTTCTCTTTCACACGATCATGGCTACACTGTGGGCTGTGCTTCAAACACAGGAGCTTTTGGGAGTAAATTTAAAGACACCCAAACCCTTGAACATGTTTTTGGAACCAATAAGGTAGGACAGATACAGACACTCCATAAACTAGAGTTCTACCCATCCAAGAGGGGACGCTGGAAGTTCTAGATCAGAGGAATGAAATATCAAAGAGTTAGGTATTCATTTTATTTATTTATGGATGAGATAAATAGCTAAAATAAATGATCATCATGTCTTTATTACTCATGTAACAGCAGAGTCCACCATTCATAAAGACCAGCCTACCTGTCCATCATGGCAACTGAAGAAGCCATGCCTGAAGGAGCAAAAGGTGAGGACCAATGTTTACTTACTTTATGAGTAGAGCATAACACTTTCCATGTTTTGAAAAGTCTTTCCCTCTATTTTAATTGCCAGAATTTAATTAGCATGACTTATGACAATGTGTCCACTCTCCATCTACCAGAAAAGGCTCAACATGTTATCCACTAGAGCTGTGAGGACATTCACTACTTGGAACAAGTCAGGTGAAACTAAGTGTGCCATGACTAACAATTGATCATTTTTATGTTTAGAAAGTGACTTTTCCTACATGTGCATTGGTTTTAACCTATTAGATATATGTTTATTATAGCCAAAGATTATGTCTTTAAAAATAAAACTTAACAGGAGCTTAAATGTAGAGAAGAACCAGAGTTTGCACTATTCTGGCTGAATGAGGAGGGGCTCCCATGGCTCATGAAATAATGAAGTACAAATTTAAAGCCATTACTTGAATTGGGATCCAACTCACTGTGTTATTTCTCTGGAGACATTTCTGTTTTAAACTTTTTCTACAGCAATACAATAGAAAGCTTTAACTCTTTAAAGGGAAATTTTTGCATGATAAGTTGATTAGAGGTACTTTATGCTGTTCGATACTATAGTATATTTTCTACTAAATGTCATGGGGATTGTTTATAAAGTCTTTATAGAAAAAACTCCCTAAGCACTGTAGTAGCTAGAAAATAGGTGCAGTTAGCATCCCATTTGAGCAATTTAGCACCGAACAGGGCATAGTACTTAGTAGGTACTTAAGAAGTATGTGCAGAATCAAGTTCCATTGTGCCTAAAGGTTTTATACATTTTTGTTTTTCACTTTTTGAGACAGCATTTTGCTATGGAGTGCAGGCTGGCCTCAAATCCTTGTTTGCCTCAGCTTCCCGAATGCTGGGATTATAGTCATGTGACAACATGCTTAGCTTAAGAGTGCCTTTTCCAAATCCTGTGTTTACTCAGACTGTACATGCAAGATGGTCTCACCTACTTGGCCATAAATCTTTGATTATCTTCTTAGCAAATTTTTGCAAAGCTTTTCTGGAAAAGGAAGTCTTTGACTGGGAAGGAGTGAAACCTTCTGAATGTAGCAATTTACATACAATGGTTTTGAAAACTACATGTTTGCAAGATCCTAGGGCCTTTTGGACGCATAAGAGGCTTGTTCTGTGATTGTAATCAAGAGATGGCTCATCCCCGTCACAGTTACCATGACTAGATTTTCTTTGTGTAGCTCAGTTTAGAGGCTTACTGGAGTAACCCAGCAGAACTACTAAAGCGGTCAGAGTGCATCACACTATCAGCATTCAATCGGTCTCTAAGAAGAATGAGACTTTTTAAAGACTAATGTATGAAATTATTTTATGTGACTTCAAACTTTTGGAATCTGAGGTGTGCATATATTCTTTTCTTTGGAAGGACTAATTGCATCCATGTTTCATGTCAGTTTATTGTGGCCATTTCAATCTCTAAAATTTAGTTTATTATAAAATATTGTTATTGCTTATAATAATTTGTTATTTAGTTTTGGGTTTTTAGTAACACAGAGAATCTCAAAGATGACATTTTATTGTCTGTGGACACATTAATGCATTAATTTTAGATAAAATATCTATCACTAAGCAGCCTACTTAAACTAAATTAGATGGTTGTTTGTCTTTTTGCTGTTAAAAAAAACAAGAGTTGATTAATGAAATTAATTATGCAAACTTGGGCAGGAGAAACTTTAGTACAATGACAGCAGTACAGTAATCACAGCAATAATAATCGCCCAATGGGAAAACTTATGTGTTGGGTCTTGTAGTTAAATGTTCTGTGATAATATCTGAATCAACTCCCTTAACAGCTTTCTGGGACATAGCCTTATTTTTACCAATAAGAAAACCAAGGCTTGAGAAAATAAAATAATGTTTATGAGCAAATTGAATTAAAACATAGCAGGAATGTGGCTTCTTCAAAATTATTCCGTATGTTATGGGTCTGTGTTTTCAAATGTGATTAATCATAGATGTCCGAATGTAGAAGGAAGAGCAGTGACAACTTCATAATATCAGTTATTATGTGCACTTAGATATAAAAAACTTCATGTTTATACCCTCGCCCTTTTGTATCAAAGAAGTAGGAAGCTCAAACATTAATTGGATAGACCATTACTATCAGAGTTGTTTAATTATTCAAATCTTTAAACTCACTTGTTGAACATAGACCTGCTTTTGGAGCTGATAAGAATAAAAAAAACATAACTCTAGCACAACCTTTCCCATTGTGTTGCCATCTAAATTCTCTTATGCTGCCATGGTAATTTAAGCCTTCAAAGCTAAATTTAGTTATGGCAGAAATCAGAAGAGCTGACTCAGCACACTTGGTGACACGGAGGGCCAGCTTGAAGTCAGCATGTATATGCAGAAGACCCTCAGCAAAACCACATCAGGATCCATGGGAAGTTGGTGCATCGTGGCCTTGGTGGTGTGCTCTGCTGCTTTATGATCAAATAAATGGGCCTTGTCCCATTGCACTATCTAAAGGCCTGACCATAAGGGTGTGCACTGGCAGGACATCAGAGTCCAGATCTGCTTGCTAACCCCAAGAGGGCCATGAGGGTGACCATTGTGCACAGTTCAAAGGAGATATGTGGCACTATTGAGCACAGAAAGACCAGGTATACTGAGGTCAACAAAGGCACAGCTAGGAAGAAAATGATGTCTTGGGAATTTAACTCCTCTGTCAAAAGCTAATTTTTAGTTACAAGGGGGAAAGCTGGAATGCCAGCACATTAAATGACAACAAAGGGGCAGGCTTTTAGGCCTAGAATGAAAGTGTCAGTAAAATGTATTCTAGGAGCTCCAGTAGCTTCAGAGGAGTCTGTGGTACTCAGAGGGAGTGTGTGGCATCAAGGGAAGCAGCAGCTATGTAGAAAAGAGCAGCAAGTGGCACAGGAGGCCTTTGGACCCCCAGCAGAGCCTTCGTGCTTATTAATGCCAGCTAATTCTAGAGGGCATGGACTTAAGAATGGATTCTTGGACTAGAATACATGAGATGATGGACATGATGTACGTGCCAGAGAGTTTATATGTAGCTGTGGTTAAAGGAAATTATGAAATTTAGAAAAATGGAAATGGACAAGCACTATCATTATAACACTAGAGGCCATTAGGTATGAATATTTATTGTTCCCATGCTAGTCCTACACATTTATTGAGAGTTTTATTTTATAATTATAATTTAAATACACTCAGAGTAATGTTTGGTCATATGCATAGTCAACAGGGCAAAAGTTAATACTCTTTATGCCCCAAATATATTTGACTAATTTTTATAAGATGATATTCAAACAATTTTTAAGGCTGATGAATATTTAATTACCCTGACCATTTTAAGTTAGGTTTTCATTTTTTCCTTTTTTTTTTTTTTTGGTTTTTCAAGATAGGGTTTCTCTGTGTAGCTTCGGAGCCTATCCTGGCACTCGTTCTGGAGACCAGGCTGGCCTTGAACTCACAGAGATCTGCCTGCCTCTGCTGCCCGAGTGCTGGGATTAAAGACATGCGCCACCAACAGCCAGCTTATAAGTTAGGCTTTCTTTTTAAATAGCAGATATCATATAAAGGACATTATATTCATTTGTTTTGAATATAATTGTAAAAATCACTTAGAACATTTGAATAGAGCCCTGCAAAACTCACGACTGTCCTCAAAATTTAATCATATCATTTACCTTCTCTACCTTAAGGAAGTATAAGTAATTACTTTAACCAGAACCTGAGAGCCTGAGGCAGGAGGATTGCAAATTCCAAACCTGCCTGAGACCTTGTCTCAGAAACCAAACAAATTGTTTTATAAACAAAGATTTTTTATATAAAAAAGGATTTTTGTTTTTATTTTAGGTCCTGTATTGGAAACCACCCAGAAAGACTTTTTGCAAGAAGCAAAATCTCTTATTGCCCAACATTACAAGAGAATAAATGAGGTAGTGTTTTATATAACTTGATGTGTTTTATTCAGAAAAATGAATAAGTACTTTTGAATACTGCACTGGTTACCACAAAAGAGTTCATGGACACCAGTATGTGATATGCTTGGAGTCAGGTAGCAAATGATTCCCTCAGTAGCTTTTATGAAAAAAGATTCAGATGACATATCAAAATAAGATTTCTTTTACTTATTTAAAATATTTGATGTTATGTATATATTTAGTCTGCACATTTGATATAATTTTTCATGGTGCTAACACTTATTTGGATTTATTTTAAGTAAGTATCCCTTTAACACTGTTTAGACAAAACTAAAGTAAAAAATTCATAGATGTATTTCTGTCTTCTCCTTTGTCAGTTTGCTTTAGAACTCTCTTGCAGGGCACACTGTCTCTTCTGGATGTTGCATCTCCAGCAACAAGCTTTGTTCCTGGCTCAACAAACATTTGCCAAGTGGCAGACAGTTGTGAGGTTTCAGGAAGGGTGAAAAGGGACATAGAGATGTGAGGGTCACAGTTTGGAGCAAAGGCATTGAAAAACATGTGGGAAGACCAGGCAGCCATTGTGAAAAGCAAATCTTTGGGCAGAGAGGGGAGGGAGGGGATTTCAAGGATGCTTTACTGTGTGTCTGCTTCCTTTTCAAATAGCGTTTTAAACAGAATTTTAATGGTGCTTCTTTTGTTGAAAATAAGATTGTTCTTTTAGTTCTTTTGGTGAACCGTTTTGCTGAGAATGTCCATGGGTAGTGTTAGATAGTCAATATTGTTTACAAATAATGCAAATTTTTCTCTAAAAGTTTTAATTATTTTTAATTATATTTGCTTTAGAGTAGTAGGCAAAGTATTTAGGATGAATGTGTTCAGGGTTAGATACATACCTTGGAAATCTGACCTACTTTAAGAATTATATGTAATCTTGACAAACACTATTTCCCTATTATTTTATCAGACAAAAATAGTACTTATCACCAAAATATTATTGACATCTTGAGTAGGTAATGGTTAGAACCACCAACAATTTTAGTTTTTGTAATCAGCCCTATCTGTCTGTAGGGCATATATTGTATGGACAGTCACATTTCAGAGATCCGGAGCTGTATTAGTTTTCCACTGCTTATGTTGATCAAAATTAAGAAACAAGTGATTAAATGTATCTGAAATATTATATCCTGTTATCAACATGGTTTCCATGGCAGCATACTTCCATATATGTTGAGTGATTTCCAGGTTAGCAGAGAAAGGCTTGGGAATATTATTGGCAATTAAGAGATCTCAAAAGTAGTTAAAATAATTAAATTTGAAATTTCTTTTAAAATAGACTCTGAGCCTGTATATTTTTATTTTTGAGGTTATAATTTAATAATAACACTTCTTCGTTCCCTTTCCTCCCTTTTATTGTTAGTGCATGCATATATGTGCCTACATATATATTCTTAAATGTAACTTGTTCAGTCTGCATAATGCTGCTTGTATGTAAGTTTTCAGGGCTGACTATTTGTGTGCCTGCATTCTAAAATATCTTTTTTTTGAGACAGAAGTTACTATTTTACAATTTTTGAAGTGGGCTTTACCAGTCACTCTTGGGAATGGCTTTAGAGTGTGGGCTTAACTGAGAACTGCCATGTATATTGCAGTAAATGTCTTCTACAGCAAGACACTTTGGAAAACGTAATAAGTGAAGACAAGACTTTATCTTGACAAAATTTACTCTCAAAATTTACTATGCAATTATATTAAATGATGAATATTAAGACTTTTTTGTTTTATTTCCAGAATAAGACTCAAGGTACTTCCATAAATGTTTTTAAAAATAAACACCAAAAGCCAAAAACTGGCAAGTACATACCTTTTGACATTAAGAGAAGTGAAATTCTTAATGTGGTTCAAGAACATCGCACGGTCCTGAGAAGCATTAGCTTTCCCAAGGAGACTTCCAAATGCTCACCTTTAATGGAGGATTCACAGCAGATGGCCTCCACGGAGCCCCACTTTCCAAATTTAAAAGAGAAGTACCAGAGTGTGGATCTTTTCAAAAGAGGTAAGCTTTTGATGGAGGTAAGAAAATCAGAAACTAACGCTGGAACTGTTTACTTTTTGTGAGCTTGAAATGAGAGTTCCTGGTTCAGACAATACCTAGAAATTTAAATTTTAGCAGTGGTGCTTCCAACCTTGGATCCCCTGGAAACTGTTGCAGGAACATCCAGATGGGGAAGTGGAATATGGGAACCAGAAGTGTCTCATGTGTTTTCTATCCAGCAGCATTTTTTTCTAGGACAGATGGTCCAAAAATGTTTATTTCCCTGGTGCTAATCAGCTTGGGTTCCATTGAGAGAGGTAACCTCTTCTTAACTACGAGCCCCAGATCCTAAACAGAATTCTCAGGTGGTAGAGGTTAAATAAATGACCTTGCAACACATTTCTAATTGCAGGCATGAAAGCCTCTGAACTCAGGTATTTCTTTTCTTTTTTCTTTTTTCTTTTCTTTTTTTTGGTGGGGGGGTTTCGAGACAGGGTTTCTCTGTGTAGCTTTGGAGCCTATCCTGGCACACTCTCTGGAGACCAGGCTGGCCTCGAACTCACAGAGATCCACCTGCCTCTGTCTCCCGAGTGCTGGGATTAAAGGCACACGCCACCAACGCCCCGAGAACTCAGGTATTTCTAACTATTTACTAAGTCATTCATCTGTTGTAGCATTTAAAAAAAAATTGTTTATGCTTTATTTCTTTATATATTTTATTTTATTTAAATAACTTTTTAAAATTTATTTTACATACCGACTGCCCAGTTTCCCTTCCCTCATTTCCTCTCACCCTCCTCCTTCCCGTAGGCCCCCTTTCCTTCCACTCCTCTTCTGTCTCCATTAAGAAAGGGACAGACCTCCCATGGGCTTGAACAAAACATGACACATCAAATTGAGGCAGGATTGAGCCTCAAGGCTAGGGTAGGTAATCCAGAATGGAGAGCAGGTTCCTAAAAACCAGTGGTGATACTGTCTTTTCTTATCCCACTGGACGACAATTGCACAATGACAGTTTCTGTACTGTGGGTAAAAGCAAAGTGTGTGCAAGCACTAAAGAGTAACAAATTTAGGCCAGAATGAAAGTTTACCAGTGGAACCCTCACTAGAAATAGATTTTAAGGTGTTTTCTTTAGAGGTAGGTTGGGAACAAAGAAAAGCCACATTGAAGAATATGGGGAAAATGTATCAATCCCCGGGAGGGTGCAAGATCATGATATATGTTAGGAAATTAAATTTTGAGGAGAGATGGGGCTATATTTTGAGGTGCCTAAGCAGTGTAGGGTTTGAACCTATGCTTCATAAAAGCTACTCATGGCAAGGTAGTGGTGGCACATGCCTTTAATCACAGCACTTGGGAGGCAGAGGCAGGAGAATCTCTGTGAGTTCGAAGTTCAAGACCAGCCTGGTCTACAAGAGCTAGTTCCAGGACCAGCCTCGAAAAACCAAAAAAAAAAAAAAAAAAAAAAAAAAAAAAACAAAAAAAAAAAAAAAAAAAAAAAAAAAAAAAAAAAGCTACTCATGGTTCTAAAGCCATGGTGAGGCATAGCTAGATGTATCTGTTAAAAATAAAAACAAAACAGAAAGCCTGTGGAGAAAATGACAGCAGAGATGCCTGAGAAGGCTGCCTGAGAATTAGTCCTAGTATCAAACCTACATTAGGGCAGTGAAGTGTGTTGTGTCGTAATAGTCCATCTAATAGTCCTGAGTGTTTTGACGGGATACAAGTCTTTAGCATATAAAAGCAGAGGAAAACAAACAAACTCTGTATATTACACTCTTTCTTGGGTATTCATCAATAATTAGTATATTAAAATCTCAGAAAAGCACTGCAGTAAACTGTTTATTTTTATTCTCAATTCAGCTGACCAAGAATACCCCTGTCTTAGTTACTTTTCAATTGCTGTGGCAAACCACCATGACCAAGGCAACTTATAGAAGAAAGCATTTGATTTGGTCATTGGTTTCAGAGGCTTTGAGCCCATGACCATCATATCATATTGGAGAGCATGGCAGCAGGCAGACAGGAATACCACTGGAATAGTAGCAGAAAACTTATAACTTGATCCATTAACATGAGGGAGAGAGAGCATGAGACACTGGAATGAATCTGGGCTTTTGAAATCTCAAAGCTCCCTCCCAGTGACGTTTATTCTACTAGGGTCACACTGCCTAATCCTTCCTGAACAATTTCACCAACTGGGAACCAGATATTCAACCACATGAGCCTACTCTGCCATTGTTCTCATTCAAAACACCACACCCCTCGCCTCCTTTCACATACACTGTGCCTGTCAGTCCTTGAAGCTACTGTTTATTTAAATATATACCAGTAAATTCCAAACAAGAGGACTATAAGATGAATAAATAGTTTTTAAAAATTAGTAGGGTAATGTGGAGACATGAAGATTTTAAAGTTTGTAAAGAGAAAACTGAGCAGATATCACTGAGTTGAGAAAAGAATTTAGAGTATTTTGTAATCTGTTTCTGTTGCTACAGAAGAATACCTGAGTGTGGGTGTGTATGCATGCATGTATGTATGTATGTATGTATGTATGTATGTATGTATGACATAAATTTATTCCATACAGTTATGTAGGCTTTAAAACAGAAATATAATATTTAAGGCTTTGGACCTGCTGCCTAGGTGTAATAATCCATATGTTACATTATCTAGAGGGGATGAAAGTTATGTCCTCACATGGTAGATGCCCTTAAGACTTTGTCATGCCTCTAAAGCCCTAAACCTTAAAAATATCATATTAGATCTCAGTTTCAAATGTAAATTCTGGAGGGACACAAACCTTGAAATCACATTAGGGGAAATTTAGATATTAGGTGGGTGAGGAAATAAATGGAGGAAGCTAAAAATATATGTTTAGATCTATTAAATAGGCATGCACAATGAGATAGCCATTAGCAAGTTGGAAAAGGAAATATGGTATTTAAGTGAGCAGTAGCTGGAGACTGAATATAAAATCTCTCTCTCTGTGGGTCATTAATGTACTGAAATTGTGTGATTCATGCATTTGTTCAAAACACCCATTTATTCATCATTTAAGGTATAAGGAGGCAAAAGCTATACTAGTTCTGATCTAGAACTTCATATTTGATGTATGTAATTTGTATGATTTTCATTGAAGTTGGGTATACAAAACATGAAGCTATAGTATGGATAATATTGTAAATAGAAGCAGACTCTGATGCTTTGAAATCAATAGAAGAATGATTATCACATCAGATTAGACAGTCAAGCATGTATTCCCAAGAACTTTAAAGAATTTTGTAAATTTTGAAAGATATTTGTTAATACAAGAAAGAAGGAACATTCTACCTAGTCAGAGGGCCTTATGTGAACCTGATGCTAGATAACATGCAAATGAGCATTCAGTCTTCACAGGGACTGGAGTCTGATGATTAGGGGGTCTTAGAAATGACACTAGATATTGATGAACATTGAACCTTAACCTGAAAGTAGAGGAATAGTCCAAACACATTTAAGAAAAATTGCAGTTGGAATGTTTACAGAAAGGGATGAGATGTATTTTATAGGCATGAGGACCATTAAGGAGAGATTACTCAGTTACAATAGGATGGCTTCAAATAAGATGGTGGCACCTTACAAATTAGAGGGAAGATTCTTCAGATATCAGGAGCTAGAGTGACCTATCATCTGTCAACAAAATAGTAAGAAAGAGGGCGAGTGCTGAGTCTCTAGTTATTTCCACCAAGAAGTAACATGAAGCCATTTATGTAAGTGAAGCATATAGTAATTTAGAAGGCCAGGAGCACATCTCAAGCACGGTAGACCCACTACCAGGGATAAGTAGATCATGTACTACTGAATGTTGTAGCTCCAGGTAAAGAAACTCAGAATTATTAAAGTATGTTAGTGGTTCTAAGAAAAGTTTGAACTAAAGCAAGGGGTAAGAAGGTGAAGTATGTTTTAGAACTATGAACAGAAAGACACTTTGAATGTAGTTATTGGCATGTAGAATTAATTGGAAGCAAATAGATCGGAAATGCCAATTTTAAAAGAATATTCCTTACTGAAGAAACTATGAGCCTAGGTTTAATTGAGTGTTCAAAAAGTAAAATAACTTGCAGGAAGTGAACTGAACAACTTGTGTAGCCTCCAGAAAGGATAATAATAGCAAGAGGTGACTGGGAGCCACTCAAAAACTTCCTAGGGAACAGTAAGAACTTCCTACCACAGGCTGCAGGAGCTTTTGTGGCCACTCCCCAGCAGGTTCTGAACCTTATGTGGACGAGTGGCTGATGCATCTTCTTTCATCTTTCATCTTTTGCTGATGGAGGTTTCTCTGTGGTTCTGTTACATGCTTTATGGGGAAGATGACGATAACTTTTGTACTTAGTTTTTATGTCACTAGACCACCAGGAGCCACAACTCAATCTGATAGAGACAATAAGGCATCAGACAGAAGTGGATTCAGAACTGAATGGCACACCACAGAGAAATCTAGGTTGTTACCCTGTGGAGAGAAAGTATTTTCTTTCAGGCACCAAGAAATAAGAAAGTATTTTCTTTCAGGCACCAAGAAATAAGTGGATATTTAGTGTCCAGAGGGCCAGACTAGAAGAGACTGGTAGATACTCAACACATATTATCTTTTCTTTCCTTGATGCTCATATGAAATAAATTTCCTCAATTTCTTGTAGTTAGATGGTGCTGTGTGATGGTTGGAACTCAAGGGAACTCAAGCTGGAGATAATGAATATCCATAAGATCCTCTGTTCTCCCAGTGGGACTCCCTACATTTTCAAGCATGAGAACGCCTTTTAAGTTTGTTTACATTTGTTTTATTTCTGTGAGGATGGTAATAGGAATTTAAATATATTTTGATTATCAACTTTTTGTTCAGAGATTCAGCATATATACGAAGACATGTATATACACAGAGACTATATAGGTGAGAAAAACTGGACCTGAATTATATTCTTACAACACTATTATACCAGGTAGATATCAGTTAAATTATCACAGGTGCAGAATGATAGAA